GCGGAGGTCTCCCAAAGCGTTGCTGGTATAGGTCACAAGCATATTCCAACCCCTGTGACTCTCGCTGATTCAGAACGTATTTCATACTGTAGGGATGCCCATCAGGCAGTGCCTGAGTGGTTTGAGTCACCACCAGTTAATCTAAGTATCGTTCGATTCAAAAACATTGCTACCGACTTTCCGAGGACTGAATTCGGATGGGAAGGGAAACGATTAAGCCAAGACACATGTCGTCTTCGAAAGCGAATCCGGCGTGTGTCACACACTCGCATTGCCTCAAACCTGAAGTCTTGTTGTCCTGAAACGAGATAATCTCTAGGTCTGGTCGGCAGCACGTTTTTGATGATGTACTGGGACACATCCTGCACACACGTCACGTGAGTATGATTCTAAAAGAATGTACAGTATTTGAATCTAATCAATAGGTTCACTTCCATTATTTGAACATCGACATTGATTCTAAAGAGTAATTGATCTAATAGTTCACTGCAAAAAAACAACTCATAATGTTCAACTAACGACACTCCTTGTAGACCTCTTCTACATCATGCAATTGAACCACCTTAGCCTTGAGCGACAAAATGAGGTATACGCGATCTCGAGCTACAGCTGCGTGGCCCTGATCTGCCGGAGCGACATACAGCGTCTTGATGGCATAGTGCTTGCCGTACAGTCGCATAATCATGCTCATTTTCAGTTCCTGCAGGTTTTGCTAAGTCCCCATGAATTTCACCAGTGGGTTCCTATCATCACGTTAGATTACATATTTGACAATGTAACAAACCTGATGCCTTTCACTCACCTACTGTTGATCAACTGTGACATGGGACCCCGTCCGGAACATTTTCGATGATCAATAAAGGTGTCTGCAAAGCGCAGTGGAGTTTTGCATGGCATGCAAAAACTGCTGAAGTCTTGCCCTGTTCATGCATCCGTAGGCCAGCTGGAGAGTGATCAGGGCATGGAAGTCCAGAGATATCCAAATCAATGTCAACGTGGGAGCCAAAAATTGGGCAATCCTTCCCATGCGTAAAGCAGTGTTGACTCGTCCTCAATGGCGCTCTGTGGATAGCCCTCACCTTCTCACGAAAAGGTCCATCTGGATTGAAACTGTCTGGTGGAAGGATGTGGGTCAAGTCCCCAAAAATGCAGGGGCATGGGCGCCAAGCCGCTGTTGCCGTATTCACCCAGCGGGAATTGTCAAAGATCAGCTGTCTGCAAGATTGCTTGATCTCCTCAATCACTCAGGAATGGTTAACAGAGCCGGCCATGACCATGACAACAACTTCAAAAAGGTGGGGCTGTGTGTGACTGGGAGGGAAACTGTACAGGAAGTATGAAAGTTTAAATGCCATAATAATTATTATGCTGCTGAAGGTCGTGTGCCTGCACAGGAATGAAACGCAATGGGATGTCTAGCATGTTGGAGTTGTTGATGGTTCGTTCCACCACTGCCAACGCCATCTCTCCAGAAAAGGAACCGGTGCAGCTGGATGACGTGTAGAGCACACTGGTCAACATAGACGCCTTCAGGTCTGTCAGAATCATTTTGCTGTATTTCAACTTAGTTAGCTAATGAATTTAATGAACCAATTATTATTGTTATTTGTGTATGTTTTCGCATTCAATATGAGTCTCACAGTGAGCCACCATTTAAAACACCATTGTCCTCCAGGTCGTCTTTTCCAACCAGCTGAAAGACCTTGCGCCAAGCCAACTGGACAGCGTGCGCTGCTTGTTCCAAACGGGGTTTCAGCCTCAAGTCCTGACATATGGGTTGTGACATGACTTCAGTTCAGTGGGTTGAGTCAACTTTAGACCTTATCTACAAAGCCTACAACGAATCAGTTCACAATGTCACAACCTCCTATTTGTTGAAACATTGCTGGTAAAGTAGCAGTCCTCCAAGGATTCAGACAGTACTGATTCTGGCTGCGACAGTGACTGTGTCCAGGGAGGGGCGTCGCTCACTGTAACGCTACAACGGCTGCCGGCATGACTGCTAGTTTTGTTGCTAGCATTTGAGGCTGCGCTTGACATTGCAAGCCAGCCAGGGACAGTTACTGACCAGTAAAACCAAATGACTATTTTTGAAAAGCAGCCAAACCGACTGTGCATCCTCGTCTAAGGTTGTGACTATCAGATTATCACTATGATATGATTAGGATTTGCTGTTGTGATCATTGATCACTGACCTGCCTGCAGTGAAATGACGAGCGTCTCAGAGTTCACACAACTGCTTGACCAGTCTGTTACAGACTCCCACCATTAAATGAAATATCTTTTAGACATCCATGAAATTGAATGAACTGCCCCTTAATATCATATGCTATAAGTCTGGGACACATTCCACTGAGACCCTGGGAGGCCCCGCCAAAGGTGGAGCCCAACCACCGTGAGATGCACAAGCATCCCAAATGTACATCAACTCAGTGGGTCGTGAACCCACGGCCGATCCATCCATGTAGACCTCAGGCATGGCAAGGTGAGAAGGGAGTATAATCAGGCATAGTTGTTTGCATCAACCCCACAAATTATGGGGTTCAGCTTTGTGGACCAATGTTCTTAAATTAAAGATAGTCCGTCAGTGATCTGACCTTTGACTCGACAGTAAACAACCACTGAGACTGTTACATGGAATGTTCGCCCTTCACGAAGTTTCTTCGTCAGGGAGATGAAGTAGGCAAACTTGGCAGCGCATGGCAGCGCTACGACTGATGCTGCGCCATCGGTCGGCTGGGAAAAAACAAATGGATCAATGACATCGTTTCATTGATCGACTGCGCGCAAATCTGTATCTCGCTGGCAGACACGCCATATATTATAATATATCTTATAAACAAAAACATGTATTTGATATAATATTGTAAATCTACAGTGGTGACCTTTCTGAGAACCTGGCTGCGGCCGGCATGCTGACTTGACAGGGACGCATACTGCGCCGGGCAACTTTGCCCAAAGTGGCAATCGCTTCACTGATGAATTTTTCCTGGGCACGAGCTGGGCGTTGGTTTCGTGAAGTTTGAAAGGTCTTGTCTTGTCTTCAAAAAATATCAAAAAACAAAAAGAGTAACATTATGGTTCGTGTGGGACTAGATTCCTCTCCACTCCACAACTTCTTGACTACAGCCTCGACCCAGACCCTCTTGATGTTGTTAGCCATACGCGTCTTGTTCTTGAAACCAACTGTTTGTCCAAGATCATCAGCATCCCTCATTAACAGTGCAACAGACTCATCCAAAATCTTTGCAAACTCTGAGAGTATGTCAAGCACTGGCCCCACTAGCAGCCGTTGCAATGTGTCACTGTGGCTGGGATCCAGACAAAATGCCAGCAGCTGAACCAGGCTGACTTGCCCAAGTCCATTTTTTCTGGTCATCCAAGTCTTCTTCTCGTCACGGACATCTGATTTCCATGTACTATGGATATGTGCCATAAAGAACTCACGAGTCCAAAACAAAGAACCAACCACGCTTCCCTCAGTGTTCACGTGGAGATTTGTCTCATTGTCGTTGTCGGACCCAAAAATGATGTGTCCCAAGTCAAATCCTCCCAATGACGTAGTCATCAGCAAAACCAGGTTGGATAAACCAGAGCATGCCTGACCCCTGGCCAAGGTATTGCGATGCTTCCCAGATATAGTGAAGGTGATGAACGATATGAAACTGGATGTTGTCATGGTTGACTCCTGGAACCAAATATCCTGCGTGTCATCCCTAGTCGAGCGCAAAGAATTCTTTGACCTCAATTTCCGAATGGCTACACCTGGCCAAATTCGATGATGCACGTCGTCAATGGCGTCCTGGCTTCCCCGAAAATTGGCCTGCGCTTTCTTCCCATTCTGTGTGGCAAAGAATGGAATGATTGCCTGGCAGCGGACGGACACATATAAGGCAACCCAATATATATTTTAACAGATCAAAACCTAAAATAATTAGTCAGACAAATATCCTAATCGTCTCTATCGTCAAAGAATCTGTGGATGAACAACTGCTGATCTCACCATTGAGTGTGCCTGCTGAACTGCCCACTCACATTGAACTGTCTGTGACTCATACACAGCAATGTCGGTCCCGGCCAATCGTACCACACCTCAGGTACCCGTGCTGAGCTTCCCTCGCTATGTGAACTTCATTGAATCATTGACTTGAGAAAAGTAAGTCCCCTGCCCCTTCGATGAAAATCTGCTTGGTCCGTCCCCTCCATCAATCAAGCCTTCAGTTGAGACTTGGATTCTCTTCATTGATAGTTACTTGATACTTCCCGCGCAGATGTTAAAAAACTAGTGTTTTGATTTTGACTCAGCTGCGCACGCGCCACATACCGTCAGAGACTCCCAGACTCGTGAGTTCACTCACGAGTCTTCACTTGAGCCACAGTTGTCGGATTCTCTTCTGTCTCTCTCTCTCTCTCTCTCTTTCTCTCTTTGGAAATTGGCATGCAATGCACTGACTGAAAATGCACACGTTGAATTGTTCCTTTCCTTTTTCCATCCCTATTCCATAGTTATTTTGACATGCCTAAAATAAGACTGAAATAGTCAATCATGTGTCTATTTTGATATTATTTATTATTCATCATCTATTTTTGTGATTTGTTATTAAGCTACTATTAAGCAGCTGATAGCTAGATGATAAGTAGTTGATAATACTTGGGAAGGGGGGGGGTTAGGAGGGGGGTAGTATAGAATCTCATGATTACAAGTAAGTCCGTGAAAGATGCGTTTCATCATGCTCCATGCGTGCCATCATGTGCCATCTTTAAGCCCTCACAAAGGCCACAAATAGGCAATGCTCATTTCATCCCAAGCCTCTATTGAGGTCATGACCAGCATGTCTGCATTTCCTCACAAAGTCAAATACTTGGCAATCAAGTGCTGGATTAGAACAAAGAAAAAGCAAAATTGTCTGTAAACCTCGAATGAGCCCCAATCCCTTTTTTCGTCCTTGTTTCCCCGTCCAAATGGATCCAATGGCATGTTCAAATGATCCCTCCATTTCCTAACGAGATTGGGCTCCTATGTCATATGTGAGTATATAAAGTGGATCAATGCCAGGCGTTCGGAGTCGAAGGACGGCCCTCCGCTCTTTGTCTTCGACTGACACGCGGTCTCCTCTGGCCAGCAAGCCTGCATCCCACAGCATCTCAGCAGCCTGTGGTCATGGTCATGTTCCCGCCGAAAGCATGGCTCTGACGTGGAAAAACCCGAAAACGCGGGTTCTGGGGGTCTTCACAGGATGGGCAGGATGCAGGGGTCAGTCAATGCTAGTCTGCTCATGGTGTCAGAGCCCATCAGTGAATGACACCAGTCTGTGGGCTGGTTGATGGCAGGTGGAACGGTGCACACGAGAGCTGGGGGGAGATCATGTCCCACCTGCCGAATCACCGCACGCCGGCAGGTCTGCTGGCAGGGCCGTGCAGATTGCTCCATGGTTCCCCAGCTCCTCAGACGATCAGTGTCGCGAGGTGCGAGACCACACTGGTGGTTGGAAGGGGATGGGTCAGCGGCACATGGTTGAATCACTCATCTGAGAAAATGGTGCGTTCCCCATGTGCTACCCACCGTATGTCCACATTCAATGCTGCGTTCTAGGTTTCCTGGCTTGCTCGTGGCCGTCTTCACGGCCTGCTCCACGGCAACCTCCAGCTGCATGGCAAACTGCTGCCGCTGCTCCTTTCTGCCCCCCCAGCCAATTGTAGTTCCTCCTTGTGTCTTGTTGACTTGTTCACCTCACGCTTGAGGCCTTTTTTCACGAATCCGGAATTGGTGGGCTTCCCATCTCAAGCAGCAGATCTCCTTGTCTTGATCGGGTTCCAAACAGCTTGGACCCTGAGTCAAGCTCAAGCGACCTCGCAGAACACCAGACTTGGGAGATGAGGTTGGGCAAGCCCATTCTGATGGCATCCGAGTTCGGTTTTGTTCTGTTCTATCGGACCTATACAAGTTACAAGTGACTATCCTAATCCAAGAGAAAGGTCCTCGCTTATCAAAACAATCATCATAATCACCGAGATGCGCCCGGTGAAGTCGCCGCTTGCGGCAGCGATTGGGAGACGTTCCTCCAGGGATTTGGAGACCAAGTGGGAAACCTCAGCAACAGGTTGGGAAGGAGCTGAACAGCAAGCATGGTGTTCTTTGCATGGTACATACGAAAGCTGGTGATTCCGACATCTGCAAACCCCAAATCATCCAAACGCATGGTTCCCGGTTTTGCAGGGTGACTGCAAATCTCCCGCCTTGTGCGCCACCTCGTCTGCACGCATCGCGCGGAAGCCTTTCGAGGCAAACCCCTTTCGTCGCATCGAGGTCGACCGTCTCAGCCATGAGACAGACATGGTTGAAGCAGTAAAGCCCAGGCGTGTAACCAATGCATCAATAGGATTCAATAGGTGCCTTGTTCAACGTGCTGAAGGAATCGCACTGAACTCCACGGTATCACCAGAAACCCTAACGGCGAGGATGGACCGCCCTAACGGATGATGGGTGTTCACCGGAAACCACACATGGATCCATGGACCAACCCCTCGGCTGCTCGGTCCCTCAGTCCTCGACGGACCTGGCCTGGATAGCAAGTCCGCACTGCGTCGGCGAGGACGGAAGCAAAGTTCGCCCCACCACCCCTCGAAAGAAAAGCAAATCCAGCGATTCGATGCGTCATTGTGGACTTCCCAAAAAGCTACGGTCAGTCATTGTTGACGGGCCTTCCACATCTTGAAAATGCGTTGACACAACGTCTTTCTTTCGGCCCAGTGGCTTGGAGAGGAGCTCCCCAGCAGCCCACAAGGTTCTTAAGCTCCAACTTAGGACCTCAGCGCTGAGTGTTCACCAGGGGCTTCATTAGGCAAGCAAGCATGGGAACATCATCCAGAACTCGATGTGTTTTTTGGCTTTCTTGGCTTCTCGTGACTCTACTTGGCTGTTCGAATAGTGAGACCTCTGAGGGGCTTCGCTTCAGATTCCAAGGCCTTGGGGGTCTCGTTCTACGTCCAAGTGGCATGCGCCATGCATTGCTGCTGGCAGCTGCTTCCTGAAACAGAGGGATGCCAATCGAAAACCCTGCAAAATGTGAGAACAAAATCTATTGGTGCAAGCTCGATCTCCCTCCCGTGGCGGAATAAAAGGATCTACTGTCTCTATTGAACCAGGACACCCACTCGCACCTCCGAAATTGCTCCCAGGATTCTTGCACCAAATATGACACATCTCTGGGATTGTAAAAAAGAATTCCCCGTGGAAGATGTGGAGGAGATATTGGTTGGATAATTGCAACTTGAGGATGCACAACTTGGAACTTGAGGCACGGGACGAGCCATATACAAGTTGGCCAAGAATCTGAGGCGTGTCCAGTCCTTCAACCTCAGCGTGAAAAGGCCGCATGAATGCTTCACCGGTGAGGATTCTAGGATTCTAGGATGGAGCACCCGCTCAATCTCTTGAGATTGACTGAAGGAAAATCCATTGGCTGGGACTTCGAGAACTTCTAGACCGGAAAAGTGTGGGGTCTCACCCCATGTGCCTCACCTCTTCCGGTGTCTCAGTGCCCCGGCGCGGGGTCCTTGTGCCTCACCTCTTTCCAAGCATCCTCGAGCACTTCTCCTAGCAAGTGCATCATCTCCTGGCGGGCTCTAGGAGCTCGGACCGGCCTTCTGAAGCTGGAACTCTTCGTTCCACCGAAAATGAGAAGCACTCCGGTGTCAGAGCAGTTGTTCCTGGCCTTTGACTGGAGTCACAGCCTTTGTGCTCAACCTTCATCGGATGTTGCATCGATGTTGCCAACCCACGGCAGTCGGTGTTCGTTGAAACGATTGACGAAGCCTACCATGACCGGGACACACGGGAGGCGGAAAGTACCAGATCAAGTCTCTAGCCCATGATGAACAGGCTTCAGTGTCTTCTTCGAACGCCCCAGAACCGCAGAGCTCCTGTTGGTTCAGGCCCATTTGCTGCTGCTTCCTGATCAGTTGAAGGACGGGTGCAGGATGTGCTCAAGAGGATGTGATTGTACCTATTATATAGACGAAAACATGACCCTCACCGGCCTGACCAGGGGCTACCTTGCTCAAAATTGCTCAGGCCACGCCACTCTCGTGGAGGTGTTCCGGCCGCGGCAGCCGAGGCACTGACATGCCTAACGGCCTCTGAGACCCTGATAGACTCATAGATACCCCGACAGGCTGAATAGATACGCATAAATACTTAGTCCAAAGACTGCTGTGCAAGAACATACAAAAACCGTCCATCTCAGAACAGAACAAACCACCGCAAAATGCTTGAGAATCTGTGGTTTCCATATGTTCAAATCTTCTTGCCCAAAGCGAAAGAACATGACAAGACAGCAAACGGTGGGAAAACAAAATAGAAGCAACACGAAACCACACAGGACTCCTAACTTCCCCTGCAACAAAAATAGTAAACACCAAACAGCCGACACAGCCGACCGCCGCCACCCCCGTCCCATCGCGTCATCGGCAGGTCCCAGCGGCGGGTCGATGCAGGGCTTCAACGACCGCGTCGCCGCTGTGAAGCGGTGCCAATTCCTTGGGGGGAACTCGTCGGAGACGCTGGCGACGCGTTCCGGAAAGGATTTATTTGTTCCAAGAATAGGCCCCTGGCTGGAAACATGAATCCTGCCTCAAAACATGAAGCGAGGGGACTCTCACCATGAAAATCTTGCGTCAAAGGTTCTGCACATGCCCAGTCTCGTCGACACCGAACCTCAGCATGAACCAGCGACACATTCTGCTCCGCTCGCCACTGCATATTGGCATAGAATAACGATACATGGCGAATAGTGTAGACATTTAGAATCAAGATTCCAAAATGATGCCCGTGCCACTGAAGGCAAAAAGACTCCTCTCTCAGAGATCTGGGCAGGACGAACCAAAAATGTCGCTTGCTCAGAAAATGTTGACGATGTTCTCTTGGTGTTCTTAGAGCTCCAAGTCTCAAACAATCAGACATTGGGACCAGCCAAGGCAGCCACTGTTGCTGCTGCGCCTTTGAAAAACCCGCCGTGCGGTAGGGCCCTCAGCACGTGGTGCTCTCGGAGTAGGTGATGCTAGGTCGAACCAACAAATAATGACAAGGCATGACAAGGCTTAAGCACATCACGACTATTTGTTTTTGTCATCGACAAAAAAGGGTCTGAAGCCACCATCAAGTCTTGAAAATTTGGCAGATGGCTGATCCAAAGCTAGGGTTTGAAAGCGCTGACGCTGAGGTCTTTGCGGGTTGGGTTTAGCGCGTGCCAACTTGCCGGAAGATTGTCCCCGGCAAAAGTGCCCCTGCAAGAGTTTCGCACAACAGTGCCTTACAAGAGTTTCCCACAAGAGTGTCCCACAAGTGTGCCCTACAACAGTGTCCACCAGGAATGCCCACAACAGTGTCCTACAAAAGTGTCCCACAGGCGCGCTTTTGGAAGAGTGTCCGCGAGACTGCCTTGCAAGAGTCTCCCACAAGCCCGTCCCACAAGATTTTTACAAGAGCGCCCTACAAGAATAAGAGAAGCAGAGTCATCAGGCCCTTCTGCGACTTTTCGCAGGAATGATCTTTCAACGGAGCGACCCCCGCACCGGGCTGCTGGAAATGCCCTGCAGCCCACGGGATGGGTCTTGGATTGAGCGCCGGGCCACTCCATCACCCACCCGCTACCCTGCATTTGGAAGCACCCTAACCCAAGCAGCAAAGCAAACGTCGCTGTTTTCAAATGTGGCCTTTCAAAAGTCCAGATTTCGCAGTTGGCCGAATTGCTGTGGGCCACTCATACAAATTCGGGCACTTCCTGCTGCCAGGCTATTCAAATCAAGGCCAGCAGCAAGCGGCCTGTGCGCGACAATCACCTACAGTAGGTTCACCACTGCGAGCTTGACGAAGCAGACTGCTTCTGTACCACCGTGGCCATCATACACGGCAAAAAAGTTGCCAGTCGCATCCGTCGCATCTTCCATGCGAACTCTTTGGTTTTTCTTCACAGACCAGCCGTGCTGCTGGTCGCCTCCACTTCCGTCCTCTACCAGCTCCTTGCCAGCCTCTGTGTCATTCTCCTTGCCTCGCCCCAAGCACGGGCAAACGTTGTGGCTGCAAAGCGACAGGCACCAAACGGCTGTGTCTTCCTGGCAAGGACACAGAATTGATCTACTGTTACAGGAGCCAGCCATTAAGGTGCTAGTATTATTGGACATAAGTTTCGTGAATCTTGCTTCCAAACTGAGCGATCAGAACTGACAGCGAACGGGCATACCGCTTACAGCGCAGTATTCATATAAGTGGTGATAGGTCAGGTGTGCTGTGTGTCTGACAGCCCTAGCTTCAAGTAAAACGGCGTGGGTCCAAGGTGGCACATAACTTGCCCTAATAAGGTAGCTCTGGGCTGCCTCACCTCTCTGTGTGACATGAGCACCTCTTGGAGGACCTGTTCGTTGCACCACCCCCCAGGTCCATCACCAACGAACTGTCTTCCCATGAGGAAGACGATCTAAGTCTATCCGCGACCAATGGACTCGCCATTGGCTTTTAGTCCGGTTCGTTGCACCACCAAGGGGCCGTAGTCCGTCTCGGGACCCTCCGGCTTCACACCCGCCACGACCCACCAAGGTGGGATGGAGCTGTTGTGACTGGCCTTCCAAGGTGTGATGGAGACTCATCTGTGGGAATCCCTTCAACATCCTCCAGCCAGTCCTCCACACACTGTTTGATTCTCAACACCATCAAGGTCCACCACAAACATGAGTACGTTCAATGCCAATAATCAAGCACTAGTCATCGGTTTAGTATATACCCCCGCTAACTCTGATTAACTTCCTACTTGCAGAACATGGGCTTGCAGATGACCTAGGACCTAGGACATGGTCTGGCAGAAGAAGCAGGCATCGAAGCAACACACCTGTAGCTGAACCCTGCCTTCTTGCAGAGACACCAATGTTAGTCAGTCCGTATGAGGGTCCTAGGGTCTGGTTCTATTATTTTTGGGGGGGGCTGTGGTTTAGGGTCTCAGAGTTTGGGTGTGGACCTTTGGGGTTGTTCAGGGTCATTGCCTTCTAAATCACTCCTCCGAACGGGAAACTCATGTGCTTCCCCCCACCTGAGGCGTTTCGAAGTGCACCACCTCCGCAGGGGGATGGTCCTCACAGCCATGCTTGTAGTGCTCGCCTCAGGTCCAACCGTCCCTCGCTGGCGCTCGCTCCGGTCACCCAGCGGAGTGGGAGACTGACTTGCTGCGTGTCCCGAAGATTTGGAGTGAAACGAAGGTGGCCCCCCCCTGGCTTGGAGTTGCAGAGTTGACAGCTCCACTGGACTGGTTTCTGAAACACTCGGCAAGCTGGCATTTTGAACCATCCCCAAATGCAATGGCGGGCCAGCGTTTGAAAGAGGGCCAGCCTAGGCTGGCCTTGCATTTTTTCGATCAACTTCCGCCAGGCGGCAGCAGTAGACCTTCTTTTGCTGCGACCAACCCATTTTCCAGTTCTGTGCACCCGCCACACAGTCGAAGGGCTCGGAAGTGGTCTGACCGAAGGCGATTGCACGGATTGCCACAAACCGGCTTGATTCAAGATGTTTGCAGCTCCAAGCCGTTTGATTTGAAGAGGCGGGAATTCCCCGTATCAAATTTGCACCATCTGCACCATGTCCCAACCTGTCCAACCTTACCCGTACCCTGTGGAGTTAGTGCAGAACTGGAAAGGGATGCAAATTATATCCTTTCATATAAAAACGCGTTGGACAAGAAATCTCATGATATATGACCATATATTCTCCAGACCGATTGTTTCCCATCCACTTTCTGTCTCACGACTGGCCCGGCCTCTGCATTGGCCAATGACACAGCCAACAGCAAGCCTCTGACGTGGCCACAAACAAATCGGAACCTTTTTGTCGCACTATAGGAGAATGGAGTGCGCAAGTGCACACGGCACCGAAGCCGACACCGACCATGACCAACGCTGCTGGTCCTTCGCAGCAACATGTAATCTTAACCCGAAAGAACTGAAAGACTGCAAAAAAAGTATCCATTGATTGGTGGGTGTTGAGCAGGATGAGCTGAATACTGAGTCTACAGGTCTACGGGAAACGTTCACCTACTCTAGGGTGGAGGGTCGGCTTTTGACCAATACAGTACCCACATGAGAAATGAATCAATGGGAATCATGCCCTGATCGGTCCTGAAGTCGTGAGTTGCTCATACTGCAGAACACCGGCCACAAAAACGAAAGCTCATCTGACGAAAAGCTTATATATCTATGTCATAGTCCTGGGTTGAACACTCCCTGAAAGGATCAGTGGAGTTCACCATCTGTTTGGTATTCGGATTTCATGGTCATCCCTTCAGGACTAAATTCCATGCATCAAGCGGAAAAAACACGGGCGGCGTTTTTACCGTTCGCCCCATCTCGCCTACTAGCCGCATGGTTCCTGAGATGCACCAATGCGGCCTCCAAACATAATGTGATGGAAGACCCTCTTGTTCGGCCAGAGGTTCGTTGTGAAAGCCATTGTACCTACTCCTGCACATCTTGAACTGCCACAAACGTAGCTCTCATACTCAAAAGTAGTGCAAAAAAACAGTGTGATGCTGCCTGATGCTATCATCAAACATGACTGTGGATTTGGATCATCATTAATAGCAGCTGGATTTGCACCCGTGCACCCACGGTGAAATGAACAAGGCAAATGGAACAGGTTCCAGGTCTTCACGATGGCTTCTAACCAAGCATGTCTTTCGCGTGCCTTCGGCCCACTGATGTCTGCCAAGCGAATCTGTATCTGCTTACAGGCTCAGCTTTGATAGGCTTGCGGCTTTTGGGATGTCTTCAACTTTCGAGTGTCAGAACAAGATACTGGAGGCGAACAACGTCAAGATTTCCAGCTGCAAACATCATAAGTATGAGGCTGGGATTTGGGGTGCCTGGAAAAATGGTCAACTGCCTTGCTGCTCATGTCCTCA